TTTGTATAAATCTATTTAGCTAAATTAATTACAGGCCTATATAAATGTATAGGTCTAGATGTATTATATCCTAAACGTATGCACTTATTTGAATAGCATAAACTCGTGCTCGTGCATTGAAAAGTATTCATGCAAAGTGTCAACTTGCCTAATTGAGAAAAATGGCCACTAATGTTAATGTTAATTGAAGCGAGATGGGTGGACACGATGAGCGTAAATCATGAGAGGAACTGACTGCTGAGAAACCATGGGTGGCTTTGAGTTTTGACTTTGTTGTCCTTTAATATACTGTGGGATAGCAGTTTCCATTGCTAAGATATGGGATTAGGAGTATTTCGCGTGAAAGAGGAGTTAAATCGGGGTATGTGGACGGTCCCACCCCTGCAATAGGCTGAAACAGAATTACAGCTTGTTAGACCGGTGTCCCGATATCACCCGGGAGACCGTTCTACTTGGGTGTTCCAGGCCCTGGTGGCTGAACATGAGCTTTGGCTACTAGTGCTTTCAAAGGGAATATAGTGCCAGAGTTGGAAACCCATCAAAACACAGGTGTTAATGTAGGCCTATATGCCTATGGGACTACGTGTATTTACTGCTAGAAATGAAATTGCTTTATTCAACTGATGCAATTCTGGTTCCAGTAAGAACTTGAACTATGGCAATTTAGATTATCGAGAACAATACCCCGGGACAACAATATATGTTTTAAAAATAAAAACCTATTTCAAACCTAGACATTTTGCTTCGATGCTTATTTTTTTTTTAATATTTTTTTTTTATTTTACCTTTATTTAACTAGGCAAGTCAGTTAAGAACAAATTCTTATTTACAATGACGGCCTACACCGGCCAAACCCGGACGACGCTTATATCGATTTATCCCAGTGTTGTGAGAAACCTTATCCCAGTTTTGTTCCAAAGCTCGTGCAATAGAAAAGCAAACATAAGGACAGATAAGCTTTCGGCAAGTCCAGCCTCAGAGTCCAGAGTGGAGCATGAATGGAGAAAAAAACCTGGCGTGATCACTGCAGGAGGAATTTCATCCAAGTTTGACCACATCTTGTTCCAAAAATTCCAGACTAGGTTTCAGTCTGGAGAAATGCCATTGGTTCCTTGTGTGACTCAAACTAATCTAGAAATATGCAAATAGGACGACCGGTAAGAAATGTAATTAAATTGGGGTACCAAAGTAAAGGGATCAACAAGCTGTACCATCGCTCATCTTGTTGCTATAACAACAGTGAAGGGGTTGCGACTGATGATGCGCCCAGAACCTTAGCAGAGGCGTCTCTCTCTGCTGATATTTGAAACCCTTTTTGGTGTGTGTGTTTGTGTGGACGCGCGCGTGCGCCTGCCTGGCCAGTGCACCTGCACATTATCTCTATTTCCCATTTTTCCTATTTGAGCGAAAACAACAGCTTTTCAGAGGTATTCCTTTATAAATGGTCCTCCACAATAATGAAGGTTCACCCTGTCATGTATCTCAGGTAACTAAATTGGATGATGTAGGTCTAGGAGACTGATGTCAGTGGCGTAAACGCTCGTGTACTTTTGGTAAGAAGGTTCTCCAGTGCAGATTGAGGCCGGTTACCGTTGAACCAGGGTTCCAAAAGGTCCATTCCCATTTCACTCCGCTCTGGAGGAGGCTTGACTGGGGTTATCCCCTCCATCAAAGGAAGAGCTTCGGTATACGCTCGTTAAATAATGGGTAATAGGTATTTTGCTCCTTGTGAGAGCGAGATTGGAGGGGAATTAATTATTGAAAAACGGTCCCCAGTGTTTTGGGCGCATTATGCGGTTTTATCTCAACATTACAACTTTTATTACTATTATTTTCTGAACACAATGGTATATTGTTTTATACAGTAAGCCTATTAAGCAGAAATAAATGAAGCAATTTTTTCTTCTTCTTCTTCTTCTTCTTCTTCTTCTTCTTCTTCTTCTTCTTCTTCTTCTTCTTATTATTATTATTATTATTATTATTGTTATTAGCCATAGATTATAATTAGACATCCTTAACAAATTGAGATGGTGAAAAGAATGAGGATGATTTATGATCGCTAATTAATGGAAGAAAAAAATCGTGACATTTAGAATTCCACATAGACCTATTGATTAAAGTGTTAGAATTATTCTCAAGCAGCGTGCGTAAAATTATTTTTTAAAACATCCCCAAAAGAAAGCCAATAGAAAATTGCAAACCCAATTGATTTCTGCAAACCGGAGGCACACAGCAGAACCCTAAAAAATGGATAGGCTATAAACCAACCGAACGCCAACATTTCAATGCTGTAGCCGCAGGGTTTGATACTATAAAACGGAATTCCATACGCAATAGAGCAAGTGCTCCTCTGATGACATCAACGATATCTATCAGCTGTAATAGCGCTCTGACACGCCATTGAAAGACACTGAGGCCACCTCTATCACAGAACTTGCAAATCACCTCAGCCTTTTTGAAGATATGAACTCCATTGTCATAGAATCCAATACCGCCTGCTCGAGGACCTTTCTCGTGAATCCAGGATTTGAGCCAACGCTCAATTCTCATCTAGCCTACCCCAAACAAATAACTCCTATCACACAACGATTGAATTGAAATAAAGTTAGGAAATATACAATAAAATCAAATGTCCATACCTGTGCAATACAGTCGATGCTTATTGGCAAGCTACAGGAGCCCATTGAGGAACCTCGCCTTCAGCTTTCTGCAAAGGGCTGGAGACATCACGGCATTTATTTGAGCTCAAACTCTGTCACTGTTGACTTTAGCACAAAGCAAAGATTTCACTGCCCCGCTAGTTAAAAAAAAAAAAAAAAGATTATTTTACCGAGATATCGATCAGTGTGCTATAAAAAAAAATCAGCTTAGCATTATGTCTAAAAACAGGAGAGCGAAATGTAATGTCTGAGTAAATTTTCTGAGCGGTGACGTCCTATTCAAAGTTTACACTCCTGCAATTTGGTTGTGCATGTACACTTCCTATATTGTGGGCATAGCCTCGACTCCATTGTTTACTGCCTTTGTTTATTCGCAGATCACGGGTGTTTAAAGTACGATTTGTGAGAGGGACTGGAGAATAAACGCACCCTTTACGCGTTCAGAAGGTGAACCGGTGTCCTATCTGGCAGGGAGACAAACTTCCTCTCTGCCCTTGGATTTGAAAGCACATCGGCAGGGGCTTGGTATCCCTCGGTCTGTGGAGTGAAAGATTGGTCGTCTTGCCGTGTTGGGAATGTGAGGATTTTGATTAATTTCGAATACAACTATATCCTATCTTTAGGCCCATTGAGAAGGAATCTACAAGTAGTTTAAAAGTATCCCTAGACAATGGCTTAGTGATAAAGAACAGAGCAGGCAGAGCATCACATTCAGTAGACACTGTTCTCAATCAGCCCCCTTTCCCACAACTATTCTCTGACACTACGGGACACTTTTATGTAATAATGAAAAACATTTCATTCAAAGATCTCAACTTGAGTGTGTCTTCCATCAGGGGAGACTCACACTATGTGTGTGTGTGTGTGTGTGTGTGTGTGTGTGTGTGTGTGTGTGTGTGTGTGTGTGTGTGTGTGTGTGTGTGTGTGTGTGTGTGTGTTTGTGTGTATGTGTGTGTGTGTTAAAGAGGGAGAGCGATACTGTATTTAATAAATTTGATAATGCATTATGTTGTAAGATAGTCTATAGACATGACTAAAGCGAAAGCCTTGTGCCAATGTAATGACTAGTAATCATTAATAGTAATAATTAATATAGGCCTAATAATTTTATTGAGCCCTTATGACATTAAGAACATTTTAACATTGATCTTCATTCGGCACTAAGATGTGAGTAGGCCTGTCGTTGTTGTTTCTGCTATCTGACATTGAGCTGCCCTTGACTATATGGTATCATACACGACTGTACGTTTGAAAAAGATCGACAACATAATATTATGATAGAAACCTCATGACTGTGTTGAGCTGAGCTGGAGAATATTGTTTGGTGCATGTCCTCACCTGTATATCATAGCTTGACTGCTTGTGGACAGCTCCACCCTCCACCTCTATTTCACAGCTGTCACTTGGAATCTAAAGTTTGTGACAGATCATAAAGCTATACTTTAGCCTATGTTTTGCTGTTCTTGTTTGCTAAATATCTAGGCGCCATGTGGATAAATAGGTCAATGTTGCAGGTTGCTTTCGCATAGGAATTGTGTAAATATGAATAATATTATAATATGTATTATTCATTATATTAATATAATTAACATTTTCGATATAAAATGGTAGATGGAATTGAATCAAACATATTCGGCCAAAGTGAGAATAGTCTAATTGTTACCCATGGCAGGCACAAAAAAATATCGTTGTGAGACCTAACGCCCTTTTTAGGCATTTTTGCTCAGGGGAAATGAAGGTGCAGATTTCGATGTAGATTAATAACTGCAGTCGAAAAATTTGAAGAAATCTGAAATGCTAAATATTCTGCACATAAATCCAGTGTATTTCTTGCCTCTCTTTTTTTACTCTCATAGGCCTTTGCTTTTTGTCATTGTCAAAATATGTTGCCATTACTGTATTCATTGAGAGGATTAAAACCTTTTTGTCCTCCATCTTCAATACACAACTGGATAGGACGCATCTCGATACGTTATGGACACGCGTGACAAGTTAAAAGCGACTTTTTTCTAATTCCTCCTAAAAGTGTTTTTCTTCGACATAATGGACCCATTTGTTAATAGTTAAGAGATGCTGGTGTTGATATTTTCAATATAAACGAATATTGTCATTCTAAGTAAAAAATATTAGACATATCCATGGGTTTATCTGGCACTGCCACTGCTGCTGCTAATAGTATAAGCCTATGCATACAACTACAACTACTACTACAACAACTACTACTACAACAACAACTACTACTACTACTACTACTACTACTACTACTACTACTAATAATAATAATAATAATAATAATAATAATAATAATAATAATAATCTTTATTATTTGTATTATTATCATAATTGTATTGCTGGGTAGAAGGCCTGTTGTAGGCTATACATATATTTTTTAAATACACCATTGTGTTCAGAAAAAAATCCAAATAACACTTTAATATAGATTCTGTTCTTGTTGTCAACTACAAGAATACACATTTACAAGTCATAAATAAGAATTACACAAATTATTGAAGAACTTCAGTCTTCCACAATGCATTTAAATTCATTTAAGATTCCCGGTATACAGATGTATTTTACAGTAGGCTAATTGTCTTTTGGTCCATTCTCAAAGCAGCCTTTTAAACAAATTTAGTCACATTATTATTAACATCCCTTTACAAAATAATTACTAAACCAACTTGACAACTAAATCAGTGGGAAACGTCAAAAATATCTGGAATAGGCCTACATAATTTGCACAAACTATAATTTTACAAATGTACAAAATGCTGAAAAAGGTCTGTTTGAGGTTTGGGGTCAAAGTTTATGAAGAGTTCATAATAGGCCTGGAGTAGACACCATGATAGTAAGATGCATCAGCGGGCATTGACGAGGAATCTAAGCCCGCTTTGCCCATTGAACCCATGGATAGCGCCCCGGCCATGGGGGAACCGTAGCCGGAATAGTGCATCACCTGCTCGTAAGTCTTTAGATCCATTTTATGATGCTGTTGCTCCGAGGACATGAGGTTGTTTATGGAGAAGGGGTGGTTGAACGAGTAGTGATGCTCGGGTTTCAGGTGTGCTTCCTGTGCGAGGACCGAGTGATGCTGGGACATGAGGTGCCCATGTGCCTGGGAATGGGACACCGGTGAGGTGGCGTGCTCCGGACTCAGAGCCTGGGTCGACTTCATGTCTGACAGAGACCTTTTGTGGTCGTTGGGGGACAGGTTGGAATGGGGGGACTCGTTGCCGTTGCAACTCTCCGAGCTGCTGTTGGAGCCGCCTTCTGATGTCTTCCGGCCCGACTCCTTGCACATCTTCTTTTGGCCGGCACACTTAAACCGTTTCTGCCTCCTCAGATAGCAGCCGTTCTCGAACATGTTTCCCGAATCCGGGTGGAGGGTCCAAAACGAGCCCTTACCGGGCTTATCTGGGGATCGAGGCACTTTGAGGAAACAATCATTGAACGATAGAGAGTGGCGAATTGAGTTCTGCCAGCGTTGCTGGTTCTGTCGGTAGAACGGGAAAAGGTCCATGATCCACTGATAGATCTCAGCCAGCGTCAGCATCTTGCTGGGGGACTGTTGGATAGCCATAGTGATGAGGGAAATGTAAGAGTATGGGGGCTTGGCATGAGTGTAGCTCCTCCGGTATGTCTTGGGATCCCTAGATCTGTTGATGCTGGACTGTCCATACATGGGGCTCATTGCGTTCATGTTGGCGTAGGGGGAGGTTAGGGAGTTCATGGACTGAGGCTGCGCTGTCATGGGGCTCATGCTGGGGCTGAGCGCGGCGCTCATGGCTGTCATGCCCGTGCCCATGCCGTTCATGGCTCCGGTGCCCGGTGACATGCCGGTCATGGGGGGGCTCATAGCTGTGTTGACGTACGACATGTTCATGGAGTTGGCTGTCATGTTGGCCGTGGTGCTCATGCCCGACATGCTCATGTAGGTGTTCATTGAGTTCATGCCCAGGCCTGTGTTCATGTTGCCAACCGAGGTGTAACACTTGAAAACAAGACGGAAAACAAAGATTGTTAGCCTGTTATGTATTGAGTTTTTAGGAAGGGTTGACACTACAGCCTATTGATTTGTAGTATACTTAATATAGCTATGATACTAACATAATAACAGTAGCCTAATATCAGCAATAATAATAACAATCAACAATAATATGATCATCATTAGGCCTATCATTAAAACGGTATGATAATAAATTGGTGTGAAAGCAAGCAATCCCAGTGCAGATTCGTGCTCTGTTGAAATCCAAGGCTAAATTTGGTAAAGAACATTTCTTGACAGTAATATAATTTCACTCGATGATGTGACCAATTGTAATGTCTAGCCTACATCAAGCTGGTAAAAACGAAAACGAGTTGTCGCCATGTCTTACCTTAGCTAATCATCTTCAAAATAGAAACTCAATCAAATTGTTTTAGTGTGTAATAAGCATAAGCTATATGTGGACAATATTAGGCTAAAAGTACCTGCAACACAAATATTTGAATCAATCGTTCACCAATCAAACAGGCTAACACAAATGTTTGCTCAATGGGTAACATGAAAAAACGGTGTATAATTTTGTAAAGATAAATGTAGACATATGCAATTACAATCTGAGTAAAAAGTTTCCCCTACATGTCAAGAACACCTTTGTTAGGATAGTGCCGTGCGTAGAGATGGGGCAGGATTTGGAGGCGCCTCAAGTCAATATTTGATCACAAAGTTAATATTATCTCTGGGCTAATATTGAGTTGTTTAAAATGGGATCGGCTGCTGACGAAAAAATATATTTAAGGTACCCACCTCGGGCTCTCCGTAGTAGGTGCTCCAGTCTGTGTGTTCGTGTCCTTCCATTTTAACTGCTCCAAGCATCATGGAAGTTCCGAATAGTTTTCAAACCGTTTCTCCGCAGAAGAAATGGCAGAATGCGCTCTAACAGATGGTGATTTGGGACCACGGGGTATTCGGGTCCTTTGTAGCCTATGCTCCGGCAAGGACTGGCGCATGTGTGGTGTGTCTTTCAGCCAGCCGTGCCCACGGGCGCTGAAAAGCGTCTGATGATGACTGGAGTTGAAATGACGATCAGAGCTGGCTGTAAACGCTATGATATAGCTCTGTACGCCAGGCGAGCCTCCAATCCCTAGCCTACTTCTTCGCTTGCCCTATTTGAATAATCTCCTCACACCTAGGCGTGAGACTCCTCGACTTGCCCCCCTATTGTACACCTGCGCGAACTAAAAAGAACAGTCTCATGAAAATATTCACTATAAACTAATCTTATTGAATGTCAGAAGGGGCTTTAACGCTGCTTTTTCGTCATGCACGTTCTTTCTCCTGTGATGTCATTTTTCAGACGTTGCTTGAAAAGTAATTTAAAAGCATCTTAATTGTTTTTCCCACCAAGGCCTTAGGTCTGGTTGAGTATTTGAACAGGGAATTTACTTGTTCGCTAGTCTACTCCGTCGTATTGAAGTGTTATAACAAATTAACCGAATTTCATATAGCTTTGGTAAGGCGATAGAGCAATCATTTACTTTAAGTTTGATCCATTAGTCTAAACAATTTGTAGCCTAAGCTAACAATTCAGGGTATACAAACAGTTTTACAGTAAGAACTCATATTATTGGCCCCTGAAGAATAATATTGATATTTTAAACCCCTTTTGCACAAGCAATAATACCAGATGGGACTAATATGTATAGCAAAACATATTGCCAGTTTATTATTTATTTTAATTTAAAAAGGTATTATTCACTTGGTTGCTTCGATTGCTATTAAATGTGTGGACTAAAATAGGCCAGAGAAAATGTAGTCCGTGAGCGCGCGTGAGGGTCAAGGTGTGGACTATTGATTGCTGAGGACACACACGCTGCTGTTAGCTAGATACATTAAACAAAGTAAAGTTTATTCAATGTGTTTGAGCACTGACGATTTAACGGGGGGGTATTTGAAAATATATCCTAAAATAAAAAGAAAGTACAAATATTGAAAATAAACATTTAGAATCATGCAGATAAATTATAACAATCAATAATACAATTGTCCATATTTTCCCCCTACAGATTTAATAAAACATAATAACAACAACGTTTTAAGGTTTCTCTATTATTAAATCCAATGATAATTAATCGTTGTTAAATTAGGCTATTTCTATGGGTTTGTTTAAATGATTCCTGTTCTGCCGTAACACGAGAACAATTATAGTCTACGAAGATTGACGTTTCATAGCGCCCTCTCTTGGTTATATTTGTCCAACAATAATAGTTATTGGTGCATTGGGATATAAAACAACACCAGTTAACATCTATCTATATAGCCTATCGTTACTTTAATGAATAAACTATATACACTCGCTAGACTACATATACACACACTCACACACATTCCAACACAAAACCCACACACATTCTCATACTCTACATACGGGGTAGAAGATATGCTTAGTGGTTAAGAGCGTTGTGCCAGAAACCGAAAGGTCGCTGGTTCTAATCCCCGAGCCGACTCGGTGAAAAATCTGTCGATGTGCCCTTGAGCAAGGCACTTAACCCTAATTGCTCCTGTAAGTCGCTCTGGATAAGAGCGTCTGCAAAATGACTAAATTGTAAATCTCATACAGACACAACACAAATAAATTGCACACTTTTACACTCATCTTTTGCTGCTGCTGTTCTTTATTTTACTCGTATTATTATTTTACATGTTAGTCATTTATCAGACGTTCTTATCCAGAGCGACTTACAGTAGTGAATGCATACATTTAACTTCTCTTTTTTTTCTTCCGTACTGGTCCCCCGTGGGAATCGAACCAAGTTGTGACCTTACATGAGAGGACATGTGGAGGGGATATGCTGGTTAACAATTAATTACAGAATTAGCTAAATATCTTACATTATGTTGTCCAGTTATAAAGCAAATTGTCATCTATAGCATGTTTTTCTTGATGACTTTCCTTCAACATTACTTTGTGACAGTCTGGCCAGTCAATGCCTTTGGCGTTGCAAGCGCCATGCTCTACCAACTGAGCCACACCGGACCTATTATCTATCCTGATGCCTAGTCACTTTACCCTGCTTTCATGTACATATCTACTTCAAATACCTCGTACCTCTGCACATTGATCTGGTACTTGTACTCCCTGTATATAGCTCAATTATTGTGTATTTTATTTTATTCCTCGTGTTACTATTATTATTTGTATTACTATTTTTAAACTCTCCATCGTTGGGAAGGGCTAGTAAGTAACAGTGGCGGCTGGTGAAAAATATTCTCGGTGGGGCTGTGCCATACTTTTTTTTTCCTGTAACCATCGCGATATATTTAACACAAAACTGCAGGACAGCAGTGCTCAGTGAAACATTCAGTAATTATTTAATGCCATATTAAAAGTTGAGGCATTCTTACACAAAACATATTACACAAACCCAAGCCTTTCATTGCCATGTAAAGTGAATCTTTCACCATTGGTAGTAAACAGCAACGCCACAGGCATGCTGTCAGAACAGCCGTGGAAAGGTGGACAATAACATGAAATGATTATAAAGTTTATAGGAAACTTACAACAAACTTATACAAGGTGTATAATATGAAATGATATCAAGTGGATGAACTCAAACCTTTGACTGGAAGAATAGCATACAGTATTTTATGATCATACTAAATGTGACTAATTGTTAATGTGCTCCAGAACTGCAACAATTAATTGATACAAAACAACCTATATACAGTAATATTAGCAAAGACACTATTAAGACTTTCTAGAGTACCATATATAACTGGATTTTTTATGCTAAGGTCAACTATATACAAAGAAACATGCGGCCAGAGCTGCTCTGTGTGTGTGTGTCTGTCATCTTATTTGTACAGGAATTTTGCCCGTCTGTCCTTCTGAGTGGCAAACCTCTCAATGACCCTTTGATTAAAGTCAGGAATGTCCCTGACAAGTTTCTTCTCCATGGAGAGCATGGCCAGAGCGTTCAGGCGATCCTGTGTCATGCTGTTTCTCAGGAAGGTCTTGATCCTTTTCAGTGTAGAGAAGCACCATTCTGACTCAGCAGTTGTCATGGGTGTGGTGATGAGGATCTTGAGGAGGCTGGCAGTCTCTGTGAAAGTGCTCTGAAGGTTGTTCTCCATGAAGAACTGGTACAGGGGCACTGCACCACTACAAGCCTTGAACTCACTGTTCTCATAGATGAGGGACAGTTCGGTTTTGAGCTTGGCCTTGTTCAACATGGGGTACGCCTCCACGGTTGTTTCAAGCGCTGTATCGGGGAACTTCACACTGTGTTGTGGGAACAACTCTCCGTGCAATAGTGTTGCGCTGATGAGGTGCTGGGTGAAGGAGAACCTCTCTTTGGCATGACTCAGGATGGTATCACATACCTGTAAAAGATACATCATCAGCTTTAATTTGCAATTAAGCTATTTTGATGCAAGTGATCCTGACTGACACATGCCTATGTCCAACTCAAGTATATGATTACCAAGGTGCTGATTGTTCAGGGTTTTGGCTACATACTACCAGGCCTGAAAAAAGTTCTAGGTGGGAAACACTGACAATTACATCACAACTTACCTCTATAGCCAACCTCTGTTGTTCTCCTGGTCCCAGCATCCTCCGTCGCTTGATGGGCTGTTGCTGCTCGTCAGATACGCTGTGCCCACACAAAGAGGGAATTGAGGCCCTGGGTCCAAAAAATAAAGTTTAATTTGATAACTTGCAATCAGACTTCTTAACTCACTGTAATTCCCCCTCAACACACAACCAGTGACTTTTATATATATATAGACAGACAGACAGACAGACAGTGTGTATATACACACAAACTATGTCTAGTAACTGCTTTTAACCTGTGATGTACATAATTAACTGATGTTATTACGTTTTAAAGCCTTTTTCTATTACATTTGTGAGAGGGATGCAACATCATTTTGTTCTGCTGTTCACTTAGCAATAAAGTTAATATTCAATAACAACTAGGCCTCTTCTAGAAATTGACCTGGTGGACACCTGAATAATTATTACAAACTGTGTAGTACTTTCCTGCATTATTATCAACGTCTGATTGTGTCTTCTCTTTCCTTTTAAAATACTAAAACAAATATAATTGTGACGGCTCTATGATAATCACTCACACAAGCACCAACTGGCAGTGGGTGGAAACGTCAGTCGTCTCGTCAGCTTGAATGGCGATAAAATCAGCACTCTTTACTTCCTCCAGGATGTAATCCTTAAGCACTGACAGCATACAGTCCAACAGCTCGTTCTGTATCGTCTTTGACGTGCCCTTAAAAACGGTAGCTGTCTTCAGGTGCTCCTCCAGCACACTGTCGAGGGAGGCAACAAAATCCACTAAGCCCCGGAAAATGCCGGGGTTGTCTGAGGAGTCAGTCTCCTCGTGCCCACGCAAGGCCAACTCAAAAGCCCCACAGAACTTCACACAATCGATAATTTTGGATAGAATGTGCCTGTTTTTATCCACCTCCTCATTGTGTTTCCTCACCGCAATCCTGTGGCCGTCATCCAGCTGCGTAGCAATGTTCACCCTTCCTAATACAGCTAGCTTTACAGAGTTGTCCATGTGTGCCCTGGTGTTCTCATGTTTCTTTACCTTCTCTGACAGGTGCTTCATATCCCTCACTCCGGTACCTGTCCATGCTGAATCTGACCCCATCGTTTTAAAAAGCAAGCACGGAAAGCAAAATAAAGCATTAGCATCAGTGCACCCAGCTAGCCAAGCCTTCCTGGTGTACCAGCTACGGGAGAAGCCGCGCATATACTGCTTCCCTTTCTCGCTAGCCTGCTGTCTGATTGAGAGGTCAGGTTGATCTGGGCCCAGCTCTTTCACCCGAACTTTCTCTGACAAAGTTCTCCTCTCAAACGGATCTTGGAGGAGAGATTTCACCGAGTTAGGGTTGGGTCTTGGAGGAGTAACGTTTGCGTTCGCCATTGTTGTCTAGTAAAAATGGCGTCACTGGACCCCGGTCCTTATTTTATCAGGGGCGAGCTTGGGGCGATAAAATAATCGCCCTCCTTGGATTCGATTTAAGATCGCTTATTGACTACATTTTATGTCATACATTCATATC